GGTTGGGTGGGGGTCCAAGGCATTATATAGTCTCCTGTCTATAGGCTTCAAAATTCCTCTGATGACCATTTTGGTACAGATTCATTCTTATGGTCCCTTTTGACTTTGTTGTGGCCTTCCCCAAAATCATGAGAAGCACCTGGCAACTTTATCTTGCCAAGCCTTGAGACTGCTAGCTTCTCTGCTTAGGGAGCAAAACTGCTCTTTTTTCCTTTTCCCTTCTCCCTGCCCCCTTTCTCCATTTTCTCATTAGGGAGGGTCTTAACCATTTGCTCTGGAGTGTCCTTTACTGGGGAAGATAATGGCTTCTTTGGCTTCTTAGTTACAAGCTAGCTGCAAATTGCCCACACTGTTGGCCTTGTTTTAACTTTCCTGTCTCAGTTTCCCTACTCCTCCTGGCCTGGAATCCTGTAACAACTGTACTACATTTTAACATTTTAGTAAGAACAGCTTTTATTAATGACATTTGGAACTGCTCAGACCTTGAGATGCTGACCTATTTTTGTGAGGATGTGGAAGTTAGCCTGTGGAATTAAAATGATGCAGATACTTTGGGAGAAGTCTGGAAATTTAAACATAGGTTTACCAAATAACCCAACAATCCTATATAATAAAAGAGAAACATGCGAATTAACCATCTCTCTGCTACGCTTAAGCCACACCCACAAGCCATGCCCACAAGCCAATCAGGAGCGAGTATGCAAATTAACCCAATTAAGATGGCAGTGGCCACGGAGATGGAGCAAGCAGGAGGCTTGGATTGCCCCTGGCAATGGAGGAAGCCAAGCTTCTCGCCTGCCTGGAGGGCCCTGGGCTCTACTCAAGGCTACAAAGTTTCAATTATAGAAGATAAATAAATCAGGGTCCCCACTGGGGGGCTTGACCAGCCTTTCAAAAAGCTATCAGCCCCTTACCCAGGCTGGCCAGGCACCCCAGTGGGGACTCCCACCCTGAAGGGGCTGTGGCCAGCCTGAAAACAGCCATCAGCCCCTCACTCAGGCTGTCCAGGCACCCCAGTGGGACCCCCACTCTGATCCAGAACACCCTTCAGGCTAAACCAGCTAGCCCCCACCCGTGCACCAGGCCTCTATCCTATATAAAAATGAATAATATGCAAATTGACCCTAACAGCAGAATGACTGGTCACTATGACACACACTGATCACCAGGGGGCAGATTCTCAATGCAGGAGCTGCTGCCTGGTGGTCAGTGCGCTCCCACAGGGGGAGCTCTGCTCAGCCACAAGCCAGGCTGATGGCTGCCAGCACAGTAGTGGTGGCAGGAGCCTCTCCCACCTCCTCAGCAGCACTAAGGATGTCCAACTGCAGCTTAGGCCTGCTCCCCACTGGCAAGTGGACATCACTTGAGGGCTCCCAGGCTGCCAGAGGGATGTCTGACTGCCAGCATAGGCCCGTTCCCCTGGGGAGCTGGCCTAAGCCAGCAGGTAGACATCCCCTGAGGGGTCCCAGACTGCGAGAGGGCACAGGCCGGGCTGGAGACACCCCTGAGTGCACAAATTTTTGTATTCTGGGCCTCTAGTTCTACTATAAATACATACATAAGAGAAATAATAACATACATGCACATGTACACAAGACCTGTACACGTGTTCTCAGTAACATTCTTGATAATATGTAAAAGTAGAAACATCTCAAATGTTCACCAATTGATGAATGGATAAACAAAATTGTAGTTTTATACAATGGAATATTATTTAGCTGTAAGAATGAAACTTGGATTTGCATACCTAAAATGAATTTTACACTTGGTTAAAATAGTAAATTTTGTTAACTTTTGATACTGCTACATGGGTAGAACATTTTTTTAATTAATCCCTCACCTGAGAATATTTTTTACATGGATTTATTTTTAAAGAGAGTTTAGAATGGAGGGATGGAGGAAGAGAGAGAGAGAGAGAAAGGCATATCTGCTCACATCAACTGGTTGCCTCCTCCAGATGTCCTGGTCAGAAACTGCAACTCAAATAGGTGCCCCTGACTGGGAATCTAACTTATGAACCCTCAGTCCTTTATAGAACATACCCACCAATTATCTAACCACTGTGCTCCACCAGTTTGGACTACGTAGATGAATCCTGAAGCATTTTGATAAGTGAAAGAAGCCAGACACAAAAGAAAGTTACTAGATACATAGTGAATGATTCCATGAAATGTCCCAAATATTCAAATTCACAGTGACATAAAGTTGATTAGTGTTTGTCAGGAGGTGGAAAGTGACTGCTAATGAATATGTGGTGATGCAATAGCCTGGAATTTGACAGTGGTGGGTGTTGCACAAGTCCGTTAATACAGTAAAAAACAACAACAAAAAATAACAAAAAACAAAAAAACAAGCAAAACCACAACTTGTATGCTATAAAGTGGAGAATTTTATGTTTGTGAATTATGGTTCAATAAAGCTGTTTCATATTATGCTATTTTTGAATGATGGGGGAAGTAATTCTGATCATTTGTAATAGAAAAATATTGTGGATAAAATTTCTACCAGATAAAAACAGGAAATCAAAAGCAATAAAACAAATGCTTAAAGATCAATATTCAATCTAGCATGATAAATCAATGATGTTGATAACCTAAGTCCAATAGGTAAACTTCTTTAAAAAAGGAAATGCCAATAATAGTATTAAATGAGACAATATTCAAATCAGACAAGTAAACTTCAGTTTCCCTCTAAACTGGGTCTAACAGTAAATTTTTAAAAGTAATTTTTAAAGAACAAATGAATATTTCCTAAATTCTGCAATTTGTTAAAACTATATAGAGGATAGGAAGGAACCATAAATGAATTTTACAAGTGTAAAATTGATTCTAAGATAAATGGAAAACAGCAAGTTAGGGCAAATGTAACTTATTAACATAGATGTTAAATATCTATAATAATAAAAGTGCAATATGCAAATTGACCGGACGACTATCCAGATGAAGCTGGGAATGAAGCATAATAATCTATATTTTGTAAAATTACTGTTTAAAATTATCTGCTATTTTTAGATGATCTATTGGTCTATGTAGTCAACTCTGTTATTTTTAGATGGTCCCTTATTCTGTAAAGTAATGTTGCTTTTTAGCTTGATTGAATAATAGGGAAGATAAACTTAGCTGGCCAACCTTGCAGGTTAGCCATCTAACGTAAGAGGCTGATACTACTCCCATACTCTCGTGCCAGGTGTTTATTAGTTATGTGCTCAAGGTTACAAGCTGCCTGCAAAAATAACTTACACTGAGCTCTTTGTAAAGTCTGTCGAAGGTCCAGGAAAAGCCTTATCTGGGAGACAAAGGGTGGAAAGATATAAAGAGGGAAAACTTCCTCCATATTGGGCTCAGAATTTTAAAAGCAATATTCCTCTGAGCCTGCTGGTGTAATAAAGACTCCTAATTAATTTGCCTTGTTAAAGTGTCTTATATTTAGCTCGCTGATTTACATTATAACAGGACTGCAGCTGCAGGATTGAGGCAGCTGATATGGCTGTGAGGGAGGGATCGAGGCAGCCAATCTGGCTGCAAAGGCCTACTCTTGCATGAATTTCGTGCATCAAGCCTCTAGTTTTAAATAAAATTATAATAGGTAAGTGTAACACTGTTTTAAAATAAAATGTAATGAATTAAAATTTTCTTGAGAAACAGCAGTGAGAGCTCTGTATCAGAAAATTGCCAATTCTGATTCCATGATTGAAAGAATAGTGTAAAACTAACAAGGGACAAGTGGCCATCTCAGAAGGCTTTCCAGAGGTTATGATCAGACCAATTTACTGTTTCTTGCAAATATGTAATTCATTTGAGAAATGGACCCAAACATTTTACTTATCTCTTTAGCATTTTGCATATATTGGTAATAGAGAAAATGAAATGGAATAGGCATTGCTAGGAGTCCCTTAAAGAAGTCAAGAGGTTAGTAGGGAGGTGGGGTCTGTACACATCTTTTGCCTCAGTTCTCAGAGCCGTTATTAAACTGCAAAGCTCTTGCCAAAGTAAGCTCAAGGCTAAGCCATAAATATCTGGGAATAACCACCATATGGATCCTTTGTCTTTTAGAAATCTTGGCTTCTTTGTTCTGTCCAGAAAGGAATTGAGTTGCTATCCTAGTGGACTTCTCTCATAAATAAAATTTTTATTTTATTTTAAAAAAAAGTTTTGTTTTTAACTGCAACCTGGATCTTTACTTTGATTAATACTTGTTAATATAAGAAATATTCAAACCTACAAAGAATTTTTGTGAGTTTATTTTAGCCAAACTGTTGAAAATTGGCAGGAAACAGAATATCAATGGATTGGGATAGTGCTCTGGAGAATGGCGGTCTTTCATCTAGTTTTATAAATCATCATCAAAGAAGGATACATAAGCGGATTACATGAAATCCATTCGTGATAGCTTAGGGAGGTGGGAGAAAGCAAGATAGGAAAACCACTGGGATGGGATAAAAAGTAAAATGATAGACACAAACTTATTTTACTTAGGTGGGTGCAAGAGAGTTAACAGTCAACAATTAACTCAATAACAATGAGGGAATCTGTGCCCTGCAGAGCAGCGCCTGTGCTTTCAGGGATCCAGAGAAAAGGAAGTTACAAGTTGCCCTGACATTCCAAAGGTATGATATTATAGATGCAAAAATGAAAATAGGCTCAGTTAAGATCTTTGTCGGGAAGATACCTGCATAGGACATGACTATCCACTATAAATTGCCTTTTAATTTAAAAGTTTTCATTTCAGACCATCCTTTGTGATTACTTTAGGTCTCTGAGTTTGCAAGGCCTCCATGCAGGCTTTTCTAAGTTAGTCAACTTAGCATGTGGCCCTTTTCCTTCCACACATTTTATTTGGTAGTAGTCATTTTCTATGCTTGTTCTTCTATAAGTCTGGTGTTAGAGAAAGTGACCAGATTTTTGGTTTGTTTTATCTAATAATGACTATTTTGGCAAAGTTTGTTTTAGTTGATTGTACAGAAACATTGCATTGAAGAGGCATTGTTATTGCCTGTTTAGATGTTGTCGGGGTTGCTGAAGGAGAAATACACGTTACGTAAAGGGGTAAAGAATTATGAATTTATTAGGTCAGCTTGATACCAGATGGGCTGAGACCCCAAATTGTGCAAGCACCCAAGGACTGGGAGTCAGAGATTTTAAAGGAGTGCCCGGTGTTCGAGCCTACCTAGGCCGAATTTTGAGACCTGCTTGGATACATTGCGAAAATCAGGCCCATCACCGAAAAGTCGGGTATTTGCAAGATCCGCCCGCCCGCCTGCCCGAGGTAAGCCTCTGAAAATTTGAAGTGGAGGTGGTGTTTACATTGAGTGTACTACTCCGTAACAAGGCCTTATATTTAGAACCACAAACCCTTGTGATGAATTGAATGTCAGTAAAAACTTTTAACAAGGATGGGGTCAAGGTTAGGTAACCAGGCATAACTCCAAGTCTCCCACTCCCAGACATCAGCATCAAGTCCTGATTAGACCCTTGTAACTGTAAATCAAGGACGTTTGTGTTTTCTGGGGATAAAAGCTCATGGAACACAAAGCTCGGGGCTGTTACAGGAGAAAGCCTGTGGCAGTCACTGGCCAGTTCAATAAATTCTCGTTTGCTATTTAAGACCTAATTGGAGTCGGTGGTCTTATTCTCCCCAGTGTTAGTCAACAACATTTGGAGGCCGCAGCAAGATACCCAGCAGGGGTGAGAGGGACCCCCTATTTAGGGCAGGAGGCTCTCATCCGGCGGCAGGGGTGAAAGGGACCCCCTAACTAGGGCAGGAGGCTCTCCCCCATCCATCACCTGGAAAGCAGCGAGGACTTATTGAAAAATCCTGCAGAAGGTAAGGAGGCGCCTAGGGTGAGATCTCACAGGGGAGTCAAGGGGAGGGCTGGACGTAGCACTACCTCCCGACTCCAGCCAGTGGCCACGGCACAGGACTTGTCTGTCTGGTGTTTGTTGTTTGGTGTTTGTTGTCTAAATGGGACAGTCGTCATCTGCTTCTGTGTGCTCCCCACTGCAATGTTTTCTTAAGGATTTTCAGGACTTCAAGAAGAGAGCCGGAGGCTACGGATATGATGTTAATGCTTTTGATTTACAGCTATTCTGTGAATGGGAGTGGCCTACTTTCCAGGTGGGGTGGCCGGATGCAGGGTCTTTTGATCTGACCACTGCCTACCGGGTCCATCATGTCATATACGGCCACCCAGGGCATCCTGATCAAATTCTTTATATTCAGGTTTGGGTTGACATATTGTCCAAGAAACCCCGGTGGATGAGGGCATGCCTCCCGAGGGGAAAATCGGGACAGAGACAGACAATTCTTTTGGCCGGGCCCCAGAAGGGAAAGGCTCCCCCGGTCCTTCAGGGAGAGCAGGAAGAACCCATTAGCCGGCTGCCCCCCTATGCTCCCCCGGCGCCAGATCTGGGTAAGCCCCAGCCTCAGGCCCAGGCCATGCCATCAGCTCTTGACCCGGAGCCCCTGTCTCCCCGATGCCAATTGTCTTCCCTCTAGACCCACTGGTGGGAGGGGCTTTGTCATCCTCCAACCCCTTCAGTCTGTCCCATACTAGACAGGGAATGGAATATGGAGCTTCTGGGGGTGTTGGGCTGGCGGCCCCAGCGCCTCTCCTGCCCTTGAGGCAGGCTGGGCCACCGGACCTGGGCCCGGATGGCCAGCCTTTCATGATTTATGTCCCTTTCTCAACTAGTGATTTGTATAATTGGAAGAATCAAAATCCCTCTTTTTTCTCAGAACCCTCAGGGTCTGATCTCTCTGCTGGAGTCAGTCTTTTTTTACCCACGTGGGATGACTGCCAGCAGTTACTGCAGACCCTCTTCACCTCAGAGGAGAGAGAGAGAGGGTGAAGGCAGAGGGAGGGAGGACTGCAATAGCAGTGGTCTGCTTTTCTCTGAAACTCCCACTTTTTAAATGGAGACAAACAACTGGACTGGGAGACAGGCAGGGGTTGGGGGTGTGGGGAGAGAAGTTTTGTTGATGTTACTGGCTGAAGACCGCTAGCAGGTGCCTTATCAACTAACTTTAAGGTCACAAGTTTTCTGTGAGCACCAATGCTGATTGTTCACTTTTGGTAATCATTAAAAGATTAAGGTTTCTAAGAATAAAGAATTCTAATACATTAAAAACAACTAAACTCCCAGGAGCAAAGCGGAGGAGAAACGGAGCTGAAGTCTGCAGCCGCCCTGGTGATTTAGAACTGTTTGCTAGGCAGACTCAGCCCCTGAAAGCCAGGACAAAGAAGCGGGGCTGGATGCCTGAGCTGCCTGCAGTGACCCTGAAAAAAGAAGCAGCAGCAGCAGTGAGAAAGTGGGGGACAGCAGAAATTTACCTGACACTAGAGCTGCCCCGCTGCTGCCCAATGTACAACAAGCAATACAGAACTTGGGCCTTTGGCTTGCAGGCTACAGCAGTTAAGCCAGAAGCCAATGACTGGTACTAGCCTTCCTACAGCCCCAGGAATAGAGCAGCAAACCTGGGATCTATGAAAGCTGCAGATAGAGTGAGTAAAAGGTCCCTGTTTGCAAATGTGCTGAAAGGGTTTAGTACAGGGGTCCTCAAACTTTTTAAACAGGGGGCCAGTTCACTGTCCCTCAGACCATTGGAGGGCCGGACTATAGTTTAAAAAAAAACTATGAACAAATTCCTATGCACACTGCACATATCTTATTTTGAAGTAAAAAAACAAAA